GAAGGGAGCCTCCAGCATTCTTTCCCTATTGCTGGAGGACCCTGCAATCGCCTCTCTGGGTCCCTCACCATCTCTCTTTTTTCACAACAAAGGGAGGAAGGCCATGGTGATTGTTTCCACTTGACTTATGGTTTCTTGAGGCCAGTGAGGCACAAAGAGTGGTCTAGCTAACACTAGAATCCCAGCCTTCCAAGTCCCAGCCTGGGTCACTTCTGCCCACCAGACCACAGTGTTAACTGGGCCCACGCTTTGTTCTGAAAGCAGAGACTTCTGAAGGCTCCTGGCTGCTGAGGCCCTCACCAAAGCTGTGTTGCCCAGGACTCTAGGCAGGAAGGACCCTCCCAAGTCTAAGCCTTCCAGACAATGGAAGTCCTCAGCCTGCTCCCCTCTTCTTCCAGACAGGCCGACAGTTCTTCCTGAGGGCTAGTCTGCATCCCTTCTGCTGTACTATGTCTTCTTGGATCTGGAGAGCAGTCAGCCTTCCATCACCAACTAAAGTAAAGGGGGTGGGGTGGGGTAGGGAACCACCCAAGCTCAGAGAGGAGGGGCCAGGAGCCACTGCTTTCCTCCCTAGCCCAGCTGGTGAGAAATTTTTTAAAATGAGTGTTTAACAGTTTCTGCTTCAGGCCTGTGAGGGAGGAACAGTAATTACTACCATTATTGCGTAAAGCAGTACAGCTAAGCGGTTTACACGTTTCAACTCAGTTAATCCCCCAACAACCCTTTTGAAGTAGGTATTCTACATAAGGCTCAGAGAGGTCAACAGACATGCCCAAGGCCACACAGCAAACAAGTGGTGCAACTCAGCTACAAACCCGGGTTGTTCAGATAGAAAAGCCTGTGCTCTTAACAACCCCTGTTCTGGGTGAGCTGAGGGAAGCCAGAGGAGCAAAGTAACTGAGTAGCTGTCAAGACTACAGCCAGATCTGACACATGGCCCAGGGAATGTTCACTGTCCCTTTTCTCTCCACCNAGACTACAGCCAGATCTGACACATGGCCCAGGGAATGTTCACTGTCCCTTTTCTCTCCACCCCCTCCACCTGGCTGGCTCCACTTTCAAACTGGAACCAAGGATGTGAGTTGGGCATTTAGGATACACTGACTCCAAATGACGGTGGGGGAGGGGAAGAGCTTTGGCCACAATGTGTGTGTGTATTTGTGTCAGTGTTTGTCTCTGTGTAAGTGGGAGTGTGTGTGTCTGTCCCTGGGTATCTGTGGACCAGCGCTGGAGGCACCTCTCTTCTACTCTCTTGCTCCCATCAGGACTGCCAAGTTTGGCTCAGTTTCTTCCAGGGGGCATTAGGTCAGCGCCCTGTGGTTGCGCAGCCAGTTGGCTGGGGTTGGAATCTCACTAGCTGTGGGACGCTGGACAGCTTAACCTCTCCCAGGAGGCTTGCTTTCCTCATTTTTAAAACGGGGATAAAGTACGCACCTCACAGGCCATTGTCAGGATTAAATGAATTAACAGAAGTAAAAGATTTCAATGTTCCCTGCCCACACTGAGCGTTTACTAAGGGCTAGGTAATACTGGGTGTTCAGGAGCTGCCTTGCCACCTCGTGGGGCAGGGCTGGAGCACCTGAGTCCTCCCCCTCTCTCCCTATCACAATTCCAGGAGATAAACCCCGCTCTAATGGGGGCAGGCAGGAAATGGGTGGGGGGAGGAGCTGTGGGGGAGCCACTCCTTCTCACCGGCCCCTCCCCGCAGCCTGTCCCCCAGGGTTTTACAAGGTGTCCCCACGGCGGCCCCTCTGCTCGCCGTGCCCAGAGCACAGCCGGGCCCTGGAAAACGCCTCCACGTTCTGCGTGTGCCAGGACAGCTACGCGCGCTCGCCCACCGACCCGCCCTCGGCTTCCTGCACCCGTGAGTCTCCCTCCTGGCTGCCCTGCGGAGGG